ACACGCACTTTCGTAAGGAGTACCTCCCTCCGGGGGTAGTGAAAGGAAAATCCCTTTTCCTTACTTTGCATCCCTACTCAACGCGTACATCACTGTAGCACCACAGTCAGCACTGTTACCACTCGCAACCCTCGCATCGACAATCCTCCTGCCACCTTCGCACATCGCACCCCAACCTCACGGCTCGGCGGGTAACCCGTGCTCCGGGCCCCGCTTCAACACTTTTCCCGACCTCAGTCCCAGGCCCGTCACGCGACAACCACAGTCCATTACCGCTACCACTGTAATTTCGCTATATATTATTCGCTCATGCCTTCGCTCATTGGACTCTTGCTTCGACAGTGCAATTCTCGTCTGTTCACTCAATTGCACACGTAACAAGGGGGATCAGTACGGTATCAACAACAGGATGCAAGCTTACAGCACTCTGTGCATATATGTGTTTGCATCCTGGCAACAAGAATAGGCATTAGTATGTTAATATTGTAAGACGGAACTTACAGTACACTACATTGAAAGGTGTGGGTGGAAATGACCACACCAAATCCATCACTACCTTACACTTTCTAAAGCTTCAATCATGATCACACTATTTCCGCGAATCACCTGCAGAACGAAAGCAAAGAAACGGATTGTGAGTCCAGAGGAATACAGGGGGGTAAGGCAGCCCAAGAAAGGAACACCAACTCAACACAGATATTTCTGGTTCTAGCTGAAGCTGCAGAATAGAGGAAGCACAGAGCATAGCCATGAAACCAAGCAGAGAGAGGAGGTAGAAACTGCGAACCAAGTCAATGGAGCACAAGGAAGGCACAGCAGCAGTTGATGGGGGAGAGTGGGGAGAAGGGCGGTCATAGAGGGGAGAGCGGAAGCAAGGCGGGGCGCCACAAGGAGGGGTCACGCGAGACAGGCGAGAATGGGATGGGTGGAAAAACGTGGGAATGACGGGGCGTCGGGCGAGAGAGGGGAGGAAGGAGGGGTCAAGAGGGTGAGAGGGAAGGAGAGACGGAGGTAGTGGGAGGCAGGGGTGGGGGGGAGGAAGGAGGAGGGAGGGAGGGAGGGAGGGAGGGAGGGAAGGAGGAAGGGAGAGAGGGAGACATGGTAACAGGAAAAAGTTCAGGCAAGACGAAAAAAGGATGGACGGGAGGGAGGCACTGACCACCATGCCAATGTCGGTCCTGTCATCACCGCTCATCTCAACAGTGTTGTCGAGCACGAGATTCATGAACTGGTCGAAACCCCTCAGCACACCCACCACCGTGCGATTCGCGTTCAGCTTTACTGCAGATAGGAAAAGGGGACCAAGAAGGAGGGAAGCGAGGAGGAGGGTGGGAGGAGGAAGAGAGGAGGGGGGTGAGCAAGGAGGGGAGGAGTGAGGAGGGGGAGGGAGACCTCCACAGTGTTGTCGAGCACTAGGTCCATCAACTGGTCGAAGCCCCACAGCACCCCCACCACCGTGCGGTTCGTGTTCAGCTTTACTGCGCGCAGGCAGGGGAGGGGTGTGGGAGCGGGAGGAGAGGAGCGGAAAGTGAGGAAGGGGAAGGGGATTGGAAGAAAGGAAGAACAAGAGTGGAGGCTTTAGAGGAGTGTGAAAAAACTAAAAACAACCATGAGATGCCGCATTCGTTGATGGAAAGAAGGGGGAGAAGTAGGAGGAAGCGACAGAAGGAGCGTAGAGTCGGTGTTGGATATTTGTAAGAGCAGAGCAAAGGGGGCATGAGTGAGTTGCGTGAAGAGTTATCGCGCGAGTGACCATCAATGACAGGGTAGATGTGTGCGTGGGAGTGTGGGTGGAAGAACCAGTGTGTGAGTGAGAAAGCAGCTTCGTGAGGGAGTGTCGATGTGCAAACACGTGGGGAGCCAATGGGCAGTGCGGCTGAATAGAAGCAGGAACGGAACGCTCCTCTGATCTTGACGGAAGCATTGGAAATCAATCTGTGGAGCAGGAATGTAGAGAGAGTGCAGCGAGAATGGAGCGAGAGTGCAACGAGAGTGCAGCGAGAGTGGAGCAACACTCACTGTTTAACTTCTTGTCCATGTACCTGCGTCGAACCGGGAAGGAGTGGGGACGGGAAAGCAGGCAGGAAGGGGAAGGGGAGGCGAGAGGGGGGAAAAGGGAGGAGGGGGGACGACAGGCAGGGGAGGAGGAGGCGTCGGGGAGGGAAAGGTAGTGACTTGTTGAGAACACGGGAAGCGCGAATTTGATGAAGATTATAAAGACCGCTGAACGCGAATTTCGAAGCTACCCTCGTGGCTAACGAGGGAGATTAGGGTTTCAGAGAGCAAAAATGAGTAACTTTTCGACTCGTGGTTCCAGGGCTCAAGCCTTCGCTGCACCCTAAAAAAGACGGTCCGATGACCGGAAAAAAATCAACGAAGCCAGTGGAAACAAACGACGAATGCGATCAGGGAGCTATGTGTGGGGGATTTGGAGATGGAAGCGACTTGGCGTCAAAAGAAAAGGCAAATGAAAGAAACCGCAAGAGCAGCTTACTTTTTCAAATCGGGAGCCTGGCCTGATCTACTCATGGTGATCTGTGGATTGTAGAGACCACGCTGTTGAATGGGAAACCCTAACGACCGCTAAAGGCAGTGGCTGGAAGAACGGCTCCAAGTCTCTCCTGTGGTATAATGTTAAACTTAGATCCGTCCGTCCATGTGCAATCTGGCACCTAAGTGTGAACGCGCAAGGAGGGAGGTGGTGGTGCCGCGACAAAGAGGTAACGGAGCGTAAGGATCAGCAGCCGACCTCGCGAAAGGAAACGAACAGATAATCGATGTTTCAGTGGTAAGCATGGCTATACTCGTTAAAACCTGCGGGTTTGCCGATTAGGACCTCAAGTGTCAAACTAGTGTTTTCCACGATAGGTGTTACATGTTTTCTGGCTAGCTATCATATATGAATTATAGAATGAGATTCAGGTCAAAATAAGAATTTCATAGAGAAATATGAGCACAAAACTGTTTATTTAGCGTGCTGTAAAAAAAACTCAGTTAATTCACCAAATCAATTTAGGTCAGAATTTACAATCGCGCTGAGGCGGCATCCAAGAGGCTCGGTGCCACTCGTCCTGGAATGGATGATGACGAGTGCCGGGTCTTGAGCCACATCCTCGACAACACAGCACAACCGGCCACGTGGTCTAAAGGGTTCATGGCCATCTGGTCGAACTCAAGGGCTGCTTTCCGTCCCCCTTAGAAGCTCGGGATGGGTACGGAGGGTGTTATCCCCCTAGGCCCATCAGCTACAGTTACGACTGCCGATGTATTTTGCACTTTTAGTGTATCTTGCATTAAAAAAACTCAATCAATTTAGCACATCTGATTAGCCATACATTCATCAAAACCCCCAATCGATACTCTTATTACCGAGATTCCGTTTGCCTTCCCTGTCACGCAAGGAAGCGCCTCGCCTCAGCAGCACCCGATGGTGCAAGTGACGGCGATACGAAGTGGCGCTGGCGGCGAGCGAATTCGGTTTACACTTTGACGAAACTCTTCTTTTTATCGACGTCTCGGCTCGGACCATGCGGGATTCGCATGCACGTTCCATGAACCCAGCAGGGACAATTGGTCAACCTGCAGGTCAGCAGAAACAGCAAAGCAGCATCTCATGAGCTGAACGTCATCCGAGTCGCATGTGCAACCTCGGATTTACCGCGAGCCCCCAGTCCGCCCCAGCCCCAGGCAGACACCCTGACCTGACTTCCGTCCCGTCAGCACGACGCGTGCTCTGAACTAGAAGCAGCCAATTGCAAGAGGTCTTGCATTCAGCGACTTTCTCAAGCCGCGTTTTCAACATGGTCTTTTGAGGTGGAAGGAAATTCGGTCTTCTCTGTTTCAGTATGGTTTGGTGCGGTAGTGGGAATCAGGCTCGGTGAGTCGCTGACTGTACGCTCAGCACCAGCCCCTTCCAAGGCATATTCGCGGTTGGTCGGTTCGCAGCTCGTCTGCAAACAGGCATCACCGTTCCGCGGTGGTTCGCCCCCCCTCCCCAGGTCAGCCATGGCCACGCGGAAGGGAATTTGCGTTCAGTGGTTCAGCTCACCATCACCAGCCAGCCCACCACCGCCCGCCACTACACTGTAGCCCAAATTCGCTCGGCGCAGTTTGCCGTCACTGAGTTTCATTTCATCTGCCCGACCAACGAGCGTGCGCAAGACGCGCTGAGGGGTCATCTGGGCTGGGAGTCAATAATGCAAAAACGCCAGCACATAGCTGGAAAAGGATTGGATGGCATGGCATCCCACACCCATAATGCAATTCATCGTCGCCACCGAACGAGAGAATGCTCTGATTGGTCAAGGATAGTCGTGCTCGTTCGCCGAAGCACCGAGGAAGTGTGTGCGACGACGAACGAGAGTACACCGACACATCCAAAAAACCGTCGCACATCAGTGCCGCCGACCCATAAAACCACGCGATAGGCAGTTTCAACACTCCGTACTGTTTCGTTCCAATAATCCAGTCCAGCCCGTCGCATCTTCGTCGCATTCACTCATCCCCAGCAGCACATCCGCCCCCACCCCACCCCTACACCGCCGCAAGAGGCGGTGTCTGCGCGACGGACCAACAAAAGGCACATTTGCAGCGCTGACTTGAATCACTCGACGTGATGCACAACTCAGTCCACCACACGCAAGGTTCTTTTTTGTCCCCCCTCGCACGCCAATAGCAAGCAGTACCAAGCCAAGCCAAACACCAGCAGTCAGTCAACCTGTTTCGGTTTCATCCAGGCCAGCAGCGACGATCAGGTCGTGTAGCTCTTTGTTTACTTTTCCCGCAAGGCAGCTTGTCGCGGACGCTTTTCTCTTTAGGACCCAGAGCGCTGTTTGACGCTTATTGTTATCTTAGCCTAGACGCGTTCGCCCTCGATTGTTTTCTCTAGCGGCTGAATCAGCACCAGAAGCATCTAAACACAGGCAGTCACAATCCCTGCTCGTCAGATTGAAAGATTGTCGGGATTCTGCACCGTTCTTTTAGAGTCAAAGATACTCGCGATGACGGTGCCTGTTCCCTCCACTCCTCCGCCCCCTCGGGATTTCCTCACCGAGTACTCTCTAGGCCGTCACTTAGGCAAGGGCGCGTTTGGCGAGGTCTTAGAATGCACGCATAACGCGACGGGTCGCCAGTTCGCCTGCAAGAGAATCGACAAGCGATTAATCACCTCCGAGTCGGACGCCGCGGAAGTGCGGAAGGAGGTCGCGATTCTGCAGCAGCTCACCGCCGCGGGCCCGAGCCGCCACGGCGGAATCGTGCAGCTCGTCGAGGCGCTAGAAGACGGCGCCGCGGTGTACCTCGTTATGGAGCTATGCGAGGGCGGGGATCTATTCGAGCTGATCAAATCCGATCACGCGGCGGGCATGCCGGAGGACATGGCGCGGGAGATATTCCGCCAGGTGGCGCTGGCGGTGGCGTACTGCCATGCGCGCGGCGTGCTGCATCGCGATATTAAACCCGAAAACATCCTCTTCACAGGCCCCAACCAGTCCGCACCCGCCGCAGATTCCTGCCCGGAATTCGGCGCAGAATTTGGGGCCGCGGAATGCTCGCAGGAAGATTCCGAGGATTATTCCGCCGCCGCGTGGCGCTGGCGGGTGCGCGTGGCGGACTTCGGGCTCGCGCTCTTCCTCCCGCACGGGCAGATGGGGCACGGCATGGCGGGGAGCCGCTTTTACACCGCGCCGGAGATGGTCCGCGGGCGCAAATACGGCAAGCGCGCGGACGTCTGGAGCATGGGCGTGGTGCTCTGCGCCATGCTCACGGGGCGCGTGCCCTTCGCGGGGAAGGACCGCGCGGACGCTGAGGGCCTGCGGAGGTCGATTCTCCGCGGGGCGATCAACTTCTCCGCGCCCGCGTGGGCGCCCGTGAGCGCGGGCGCGCGCGACCTCGTCCGGCGCATGCTGGAGGTGGATCCGCGCAGGCGGCTCAAGGCGGCGGAAGTCCTGCAGCACCCGTGGGTGCTCGGGCTCGAGCTTCCGGATCTCACGGTGGCAGATGCGGCGGCGGATGTGGTTATGTCGGCGGACCCTGCGGGATCAGAGGAAAAGGTTGTTTCAGTGAAAGCGCAAGCGGAATCAAATCTCGCGGTAGCGGTAAAGGCGTCGTGTCCTGTGGATTCGAAGGAAGCGGGAGAAGAGGAGAGAGAGAGGACGATGAATGCGAAGGAGAAGGAGTTTCAGCAGCAGACGGAGCAGCAAGCGGAGGGTAGCACCCAGATGGTTTCTAGCAGCGCTGCTCCTCCGCCCGTCGCTCCCCCCACTGTTTCTCCCCGAGCTCCACCCACTGCCCCACGCGTCGCCTCCCCTTTCCGCGCCGCTGCTTTTCCCATTCGCCCTGCGTCCCCTGGTCGCCCTGTTTGGTCTCCAATTCCCATCCGCCCCATCGCTCAGCCGCCTCTTGGTTCCGCTATAGAGCGATTCAATAAGGTTTGGCAGCAACAGGATCCCCCGCAGCAGCTCCCAACGTGCCACCCGACCACCCCGCCCCCTCCAGCACCACCGTGCACCGCTCTCAAAACCCCCTTTCCGCTTTGTGGAAACGCACCTCCCCTTGCCCCGCAACAACAGCCTAACCTGCCTGCCACAAATGTTTCTCACTCGGGCTGCCCGTCATTCAACTCCCCCTGCCCGTCACAGTCCTCCGCGTTCCAGTCCACCCCACCCTCCTCCGCGTCTCGCTCCTCCCCGTCCCGCTCCTCCCCACCTCCTCTCTCCTCTCTCTCCCCATCGCTCTCCAACTCCACCGCCACCTCGGCGTCAACTTTCACTCAAATGGAAGCAGCAGACATGGATGACTGCGGCATGGCGGATGGGGCTGGAGGCTTGGATGGCATGGCTGCGGATGGCATGGCTGGAGACGCGTCTCTTTCCATTCCGCTGAGCCTCTGCCCGCCGCCCATTGCTGTGTGCCGGAAAAAGAGCCGCCGGGAGGAGTACGAGGAAGCGTTTGTTCCTGGCTCGCCCTGGTTCTCGCCTCGGCCTCTTCCTCTCACCCCCGCCCAGTTGTCCCACAAGCAGCAGCAGCAACAGCAGCAGGAGAGCGTGAGGAAGGAGTATGAGGAAGCTTCCTCAGCTTTCTCACCCTGGTTCTCCCCTCGGCCTCTCCCGCTTGTCGCGGCTCCATTTTCACACGAGAAGCACCAGCAGAAGCACCGTTACCATCATCAACAGCAGCAGCAACAGCAGCAGCAGGTGCATTGCCCTGTGGGGTCATCCCTGTCGGGGGATGAGTTCAGCAACAGCAGCACCATCTGTGGAGCCTCCTCGGCTCTCTCCTTCCAAGCAGCTTCCCGCTGCTTCATGGCCTTCAATCCCTGGGGATCTCCGCGTATCCACACCATGCCTGACACCACCACTACCAACGACGCTGGTGGTGGTACCAATGGTGACAACGGCAGCACTATTCATGTTCCTGATTCAGGGGTTGAAGTTCCAGCAGAGGCCTTCAAGAAAAGTCCTCTGCAGTCTCCGTCGAATGAGAATCAGCCGCCTGTTTATGTGGCTAGGGAGAGTAGGCGCACTTGTGGCTTGGGTAGGTTTTGCTCGTAGATTACTGTCGTGGTCTGTATTCACTGATTTATTTAACATAATGTTTGCAAGTCTGAATTTAGACAGGTCACCATATCGAGAGTTTGAGTTGTAGTGTTCAGATAATTGTGTTTAGATAATCTAGGCTATAACCGGTATGTAAGGAAAATCCTTTTCCTTACTGAGCTCAGCCACAGCGTGTACGCCCTCGGACTTCGGAAGGCTAGGCTCGGCCTAACTTTTCGGTCCCGAACCACTCTAGCGCAACCAAACCTAAATATGGGGCTGTTCCGTGGCTTTCGTCACCCGAGTCGCCCCAACCTAGTTGCGAGGTTCTCGGCTAGCGTAGTTGTGCCTATAAAGTGCCGTAGCCTTTCATTTGTATTCGGACTCTTGAGTCACGTCCTGTTATTGAATTCCGCGCTACTACTCTGATTCGATACATAACAGCTGGTATCAGAGCTACTTTCCTGCCCGCTTAGTCTTCCGTAGGCGAGTCCGTTTATATCGGGCAAGGGCCTGACAGAATAGAAGGTTGGCCTGCGGTCGGTAGGTGAGCTCAATTAAAGCTCCTACGACTAGAAGCGTGTGCACCTTCAGATCTCTTAGGTGAAACAGTTCCAGCTGTCAGAATCAGGAATGAATGTTCCATTGATGTTGGTTGGGGTACATATAACAAACCCTAACTTCTGTACCCCCTAAGACAAACCTCACTACAGGCTACAACATTTGACACACCCCCATAGCCTAAGTGAGGGGTGTCTAGCAAAATCAAAAAGAGTACGGTCACAAGACCAGTCCAAAAGAAAACAAAGCTCAGGGTGGATCACAACGTCACCACACACTCTGAGCACAAGCAACAGTGGCCACAAGGCCAGTCCAAGAGATCACAAGTATATATAGCAAGTGTACAGACGAAGCAGGCAATAAACTCAAGTCTACACATGACTAGAACCTGTGTCAACAAGGCCTAACTGCACACAACACCTCTGGTGGTCACAAGGCGGAAGCGCCTTGGTGAAGATGTCTGCAGTGTTGGCCTCGGACTCCACGAACTCGAAGCGAGCCTGTCCACGTCTCTGCAACTCTCGCAGAAGAAAGTACCTGACGTGAATGTGCTTCACTCTGCTCTCCAGTCGCGGCTCACGACAGAGGAGGATCGACGCCTTGTTGTCAGTAAACAAGGTCGGTGCAGAGCTCGGCCGCTCACCAAGGTCGGCGAGCAAGAAGGTCAACCACCGCAACTCCTGTGCCGCCATGGCACCAGCGTAAATCTCAGCCTCAGCTGTAGAGGTCGAGACAGAAGAGGAGCGCGTGGAACGCCAGGAAACAGCTCCAGAACCCAGACTGAAACAGTACCCCTGAGTAGACCTGTGAGTCTCAGCGTCGTCAGCGTAAGAGGAGTCACAGTGACCAGTGAGTACGACAGACTGCTGCCCTCCAAGAACTAGCCCCACGCCTGATGTAGTCGCTAGGTACTTCGCCACCCTCACAGCTGCCGTCCAGTGAACAGGACGGTGTCTCCCTGGCGCAACAAAGCGCGCAAGGATGCTGAGAGGGAAGGCGAGGTCCGGGCGAGTACAAGTCATCAGGTACATGAGGCAACCCACAAGCTCTGCGTAGGGACCACTAGGCTCAAACGGCTCGTCAGGAAAGGGACCAGTGAGTCTGTGGTCAACAGCGAGAGGTGTGCGCTGTACGGTGGAGTGCTGAAGCCCGAACCGCTGAAGGACCTGCTGCACCATGTGTGACTGTGAGAGTGTAATGGTGCGAGCGGCTCTGTCCCTGGTGATCTGCAGGCCAAGGTAGTGGCGCAGCTCACCAAGATCAGTGCACGTGTGTCTCTTCTGCAGTTCGGACTTCACGTCTGCCAAAGCAACCCTGTCCGGAGTGGCGAAAACGAGGTCGTCGACGTAGACCAGAACAAAGAACGGTGTGGAGCCACGACGAACGAACAGCGACGGGTCGGCAGAAGACGGCTGGAACCCAAGGTCAGAGAGGGTAGAACGCAGAGTGTCGTGCCACTCACGAGGGGCCTGGCGAAGACCGTAAACAGGTCGTCTCAGCCTCCACTGGGTCCCAGGAGGGAAAGTGCCAGTGAAGGCCGAGGGACGACGTAACCAGACCTCCTCGTGTAGGCTGCCCTGAAGGAAAGCAGTGGAGAAGTCGAGAGAGTGTAACTCGTAGTCTCTCTGTGCTGCTACGTGTAGTAACACCCGAAGAGTGGTCATCTTTGGGGTAGGTGCGAAGGTCTGAAAGAAGTCAACTCCCTCGCGCTGACTGAAACCTCTAGCCACGTAGCGCGCCTTGAAGACCGGGGGAGATCCCGGTGGCCGCTTCACCCTGTAGATCCACATGCCGTCGACTACGTTCGCCCCAGGGGGGGGAACCTCATCGACGTAGGTGCCTGTGGATCTGTAGGAGGCCATCTCTGCGTCCATGGCAGCTCTCCACTGAGAGGCCCAAGGCCCTGACACTGCCTCAGCGTAAGTGCGAGGAGTCGGAATGTCAAGGGCGTCGGGGTCACCCTCAGGGGCGAGGAGCATGGCACAGAGATGAGGGAAAGCGGCCGCCAGGAACTCTAGCTCAAACTGCCTGTCCTCTAGGGCGTCACAGCCAAGGGCAGACACACCCCCGACGGCCAGAGGACTGGTAGGAGGAGCAGCCACAAGCGTGGTGGCGTAGTCAAGGCGACGGGTAGAGGCAAAGTCAGTAACTGCGGCAGTAAGAGCGGACACAGAGGACACAGAGGCACGAGGGTGAGTAACAAGAGAGGCGAGAACACGAGAGAGAACAGGACGGTACGTGCGGTAGTAGTCAGTGACAGGAGCAGGGAGCGACACGGTGAGGGCCGACTCAGGAGGAGACGGAAGCACAGACTGAGACGGACGAGGTGGACTAGAACAAAGTAAGGCAGTACGAAGGTCAGTGAAGGGAACAGGAGACGAGGGACGAGCACGAGGGGAGCGACGAGTAGCCCAAGAACGAGACGGAGGAGGAGAGGACAAAGGCGGAGAACTGGAGAAAACAGCGGGGGAGGAGTCAGGCGGAGGAAACGTGGGACCGTAGACAGGAGGAGAGGCGGAGGAGGGAGGAGAAGGGGAGGGGAGACCAAGGGCCCGAAGACCCGAGACAGGAGGAGGAAGTGGCTGCTGCTGCTGCTGCTGCTGCTGCGACTGCTGCTGCTGCGGACGCGGCTGCTGCTGGGACTGCTGCTCCTGCGGGTCCAGCTGCTGCTGCTGCTCCGCCAGCCGCTGTAACTCCCTCTCCTCTCTCTCCAACGCCAGCTGCTCGTCACGGGCACGGCGAACACGAGCCTGGTGCCTAGTCGGGTAGGGGTGGGGGGGCGGAGTAGTGTCCGAAGCAGCGGCAGCTCCAGAGTCAACCCCCGAAGAACCAGGCGCACCACCCCCAGAGGCAGCACTAACACCAGCTCCAGACCCAGGCTCACCAGAACCCGAAGGAGGCGCACCCTCACCCCCAGAGGGAGCACCCCCAGTGTCCGCGCGGCCAGCACCAGCTCCCGGACGACAAGAGTCCTCTGCACCCACCGGGTCAGCTCCAACTCCAGAACCAGAAACTCCAGCTCCAACTCCAGCACCCCCAGAACCAGAAACTCCAGTGCCTACTCCAGCTCCACCTCCAGCTCCAACACCAGCTCCAACTCCAGCACCCCCAGAACCAGAAACCGGTACAGGAACAGGCGCAGCACCAACCTCTCGAGAGCTAGCACCAGCGGCACGCTGCGAGGAGGACTGTGGGGAGGGAGGCTGTACCGGAGGGGCTACCGAAGGAGGAGGGGTAGCCTGGGACACACCTGACGGGGCTGGGCCAGGGGGGGGAGGCTGTACCGGGGGAGCAGGAGGGGGAGCGGCAGTCAGGAAGAGGGGGGGAGGAGGAACCGGGAGACCTCGACTGGGGTACCTGACGTAGTACGGAGTGGACTCCTCGAAACGGACGTCACGGGAGTCAAAGAACCGGTGAGAGGGAGGGTGGTAAAAGGTGAAGTCAGAGGAGTCCTCAGGGAAACCAAGGAAGACACAGGGGACGGCACGAGGCGAGAGCTTGTCCGCGGAGGTGTCGCGGACAAGAGCCAAGCACCCCCAGACACGAAACCGCGACGCAACACCAGGGGACCCTGTCCAAAGACTGGTCGGTGAAACCTCTGGTCGAGAGACACGTGGCCAGAGGTTCAGCTGGTGCGCGGCGTACCTGACCGCGTAGGGCCACAGAAAATGGGAGGCACAGGCGTGAGTCAGGGAGGTGCGGGCGATCTCCATGACCAGGCCTATGCGGCGCTCAGCAACCCCATTCTGCTGTGGGGACTCTGGAAGCGTCCAGGACTGACGAATGCCCTGCTCGCGACAGAATCCAGCGAGAATGCCGGAGCGAAACTCACCCCCACGGTCGGAGTGGAGACAGCTGACACGACGACCACGAGTGTCCTCGGTGGTGAGCAACCACCTAATCAGCGTAGAAGTCACCTCAGACTTCTTCGCCAGAGGGAACACTGTGGTGTAGCGGGAGAAGTCGTCAACGACCACCAGAAAGTAACGCTCACGCTCAGGGCCTAGACGAGGGGCGGGGCCCCAGACGTCCAAGTGAAGCGTCTCAAAAGGCTCGGTGGCCGGACGAAGGGAGGAGGAGTGAGGGGTGGCGCGCAGCCTACCCTCGACGCAGGGACGACACGGCGGCGCAAGCGAAGGCGGCAGCGACGGCAAGACACGTGGGAGGCCTAGGACAAGACGCTGACTAGACATAGCGCGCAGACGAGGAAGGGACGGGTGCCCCATCCGGTGGTGCCACAGAACGGTGGGGTGGGCAAGCGACCGGCAGGAGCACGACGCAGCGACTGGAACAGACGTAGGAACCTGACACGACACAGACACCTGGGGGGACGAAGCAACCTGGTGAGACGCGGGGACCCGAACGGGGGGGGGAACCGGGGGCAGTGGCAGTAGGTGGGGCTGCTGGTGCGGCCGCTGGTGCTGCTGCTGCTGCTGCTGCTGCGGCTGCGGCTG